GACTGTCCCAACTGAAATGCTCACGTTTGTGTCCTGGTCGCATAACAAGGGCATCCCTGCAGGCGTAGCAATCCCTCCTGTTGCACAGAAAGAAAAAAAAAACGCGCACTCAGCGTTTTATTATTTTATTATTTTTTTTTCTCCTTTTTTAAGGCCGTGGATTTTTTAAAAAGGCTGTTGGAGAGAAATGAAAAGAAAAGACTCACGGCATTTCAAGGTTAGTCAACGGCATGCAGATTGGCGGCGCGCAGAATCGCGCGTTTAATTAAATGGACAGCCACGCTAGCGTAACTAATTCGACACTTTACGATCAGCTAAAATCGCGCTTCCCTTTTCCTGCAGCGCTCAACCACCCGTGGATCAAGCCCCCAATGGAGTAGCCTACCTTTGACGAGCGTCGTGTTCTTTTTTTTTTTTTTGGCATCTCCCCCACTTTGTTTTGTCTCCGCTGCAAGCGGACTTGTATCCCCTACCCGTACGTATTTGTGCCTCTCGTGATTAACCATTTCCAGCAGAAGCGTATGTGCAAGGGACGACTCATTTGTTCCCTGTTTGGTTTCCCATTTGGTTGCCTATCTGTTCCACCACTTTGTCACTTCATTTTGTTGGCCCACATTTTGGCCCCTTCTTTTTTTTTTTTTTTTGTCCCTTTCACCTCGTCGTAATTACGAGCAGTTTACCTTCTCCACGTGCCATTTGTTTAATCCTTTCACTTTGGTTAGCTTTTTTTTTTTTTTTTTTTTTTTTTCCTCTTGGACGCTTTTTCATAATTGAAGAACTTTACAAAACGGCCTCCCTCACCAAAGAGGTTGTCCAGCGGCATGTATCTTCATGCAGCAGGGGCACATAAAAGACAGATATATTGTTGCCTCTCCCGAGAAGCTGCACACGGCGTTGCAGCATAGCCATGCTGACCTCACAGGGGGGAAGCAGCCCATAGTAGGCTGGTAAAATTAATCAGAAAAAAAATTAACATTTAATTTAAAAGAAAAAAAAAAAGAAAAAAAAAGTTCTTTTGTAGCAATATAACTTTTGCACCTTGGTAGGGGGTAGCGCAAAAAGGGGAAGAAGCAAAAAGGCGGAGGAGCAAAAAGGGATTATATCCCCCTTCACCTCGTGACTTTTCCCCCCGCTGGGGATAAAAATATGCGTATAGATAAATAATGCGCCTCCAGGGGAATACGCCTTTTACGCGGAACCGATCTGCTAGTTAGAGGTGAGGGGCTCGGAAAAGGCGAGGACACATACGAGTGGAAACAGCCCCTGTGTGTGATCTGCTCATCGGCTCATCTTCGCAACCGACTCGGAATGTATCCCCAATGGCTCACTTGACAAAAATGTTGTTCCTCTTGCTCCTGAACGACACCACGCCCATCGTCGTGACGGTGGAGGAGGAGCCTCGGAAGGAGTTCCTATAGCGATCATCCCTCGCCTTGGACGCGTTCAGAGGCGCGCCGCCTCCGAAGCCGTTGAACTTCCTATTGCTCCTCTTGGCAGCTTCGGGCATCTTTCTTTTTTCTTTAAAATTTTCAATGCTCAATTTTATACCGTTGCAGTAGAGGCCCAGGTCTAATAGGAGCTTTTGGCTCTGTCGGCAGTCCAACTCAGCGATGGCGTAGGAATAGTTCTCGGCCGCCTTCCCCTTGTCGTAGTTAGCAGAGCTGAACGAACTGGGAAAGAGCTTCTTAGCTGAGCGCTGATATATGTCGATCTGGACGGCATGCCCATCGTTGTAGTTTTTCAGTCGATCTATTATGCAGTCATTAATCTTTTTCTTATCCATGCTTTTGTGTATATTATGAATTATAATCTTTTTGTCATTAGCGTTGATCTCCTGTTCTTCCGCTTCTTCCTCTTGAGTCTCCACATCCGTTTCGCCTTCCTCAGTGGGTTTCGACCCATCGCCATGCTTCACCTCATCGGAATGCTTCGCCCCATGGGCAGACTTCTCTCCCTGTTGCACCTTCTGAGTGCCGCCCGCGGGAGTTCCACTTTCGCCCGAGTTGGCCCCTCCGTTATTCTTCATCACTCGGAAGACCCAGCTATTCGGGTCCACTTTGCTGCTTGTCTCCTTTTCCTTCTTTTTCTTTTTCGAGTTTTCGTTAAGGGTTTTCTCCTCCTTGAGGATGTTCTCCATCTTGGGGCACTTGTCCTCGCTGTCTACCTTCCAGACATTGTTGCTTCCATCGCTTCTATTCTTCTTGGTCTTGTTCGCGTCCGTCGTTTCAGCTGTTTTGGAAGTAACGTGGTCCTTCCCATCGCCTTCCTTCGCGTTGGCTACTTTCTCTTCCGCCTCCTTACCGGTGCTGCTCATCCCGGCGGCTGCTGCTGTGGTCGTGATAGCGCCCTTTTGTTTCGTCCATTCCTTTTTACCACCATCTGCAGAGGCAATCTGCTGCTTTCTGGCCGAGCTGTCATTTGCTGCCTGCATTTGGGTGCCTCCCTCGCCTGCTCCGTTCCCAACGCGACTAGCATTGATGCTCCCTTTGTGCACATCCTCATCTTCGTTCTTCAGTTTGTTGCTTTTTTTTAAGGTGGCATTCGTTCCGTTGGATTCAGGATCGTGATGTCCAGTCACCTTGTTTACCGGTTTTCCTATACCCTGTGATCTTTTCAGCAATGCCACTTCGTCCCTCTTAGAGTAAGCGGCACCTTTTGTTGCCCCTCGTTCGTTTCCTCTGCTCAGTTTGGCAATCTCCGCACCGGCCTGCGCCGCCACCTCTACATCTTCGTATGATTCTTCTGGATCTTCCCCGAAAGCTGCTAGGTCCCGCTTCTGTTCCTCCTCGTCGTCTTCAACGTCCAAGTCTGCATCCTCCTCATCGTCCTCCTCAATATCATCCTCGTCACCCACATCGAGGTAGTCCACCTGTTCCTCTTCCGCTTCTTCGTCTTCTTCCTCCTCCCCCGGGGTGCCATATCTTTGTGCGTACTTAGCAAGGTGGTTTTTCCTCTCCGAAGATTTATTTATCATCGAGGAGGTGAGGACTGACTGTTTTGTGTTGGTTCCATACTTGGCATGTCCAAGGGGGTACAAAATTCCTTCGTCCAGCTGCCCCTTAATGGAGGACATTTTTTCTTTACTCTCCTTGGGGATACTACTCTGGGTAGATGTCAAAATGGGTTCTACTTCTGTTTTCTTTACGGCTCCTTTTTTCAATCCGCTGACTGTCTTGTTTGTGTCGCCTTTGAGACGGCTACTACTCGTGGCATCTGCCTCGCCAGCTTCTCGGATGGCTACCTTCCCCCCAAGGGTAGCATTCAGCTTGCTAACCTTAGCTTTCTTCTTGGTCGCATCTTCCTTTCCCTTAACATCGAAGAGGTCACTCCCCGGATTGGCTGCACGTCCTAGACTTCCTATCATTGCCTTCCTGCCGCTTCCAACTTGAGTCAAATCCTCCAGCTGCTGCTCTACCACGTCAAGGTAGTAGTAATGAACAAAATCGACGTCGACGTAGTACTGGCAGACGGTATATTTGTGCAGATGTATATTCTGCACGAAGTAGTAGAACAAGTTGGTACTCTTATTTTTTTTTATTTTCCCATGTATGTACAAGTAAATCTCATCGTGCAGATTGATCACTTGGATGGTATCGATATGGACTGTGCACTCGCTGATTCCAAGTTTGTCGTAATATTCTGCGATCATCTTTTTGTTCTTCATTTTTACCATGTTTCCACTTCGCTCGCTTCCTTCGACGTTGATTTGACTCAGGTTGAAAAACATTTCCGCATCATCCTGTGGGTGGAGGGACCCCCCACTCCCCCCTCCTTTTTTCTCCACTCCGCTGCCTGATGGGCCACTTCCCTTTCTTTCCACCCCATTCTGGTAATTAAAACTGACCATCAAAATGGCATTTTCCGCGTAAAAGTTATGCATCATGGATTTCTTCGTATGCAGGACGTAGTAGTATTGATATATAAACATGTAGGCGATGTTGTATGCACTTCCGTTGGTGGAGTCTAAACTTTTACTGTTGACTCCGGTGAGATGGTTGCTGGGGGTGGATACCTCTGGTCTGCTGCTCGTTGTCTCTACATTGGGTACTCCGTCGTGTGGGTTTCTTGCTCTCCCGGAAGCTGCGTCCCCGTTCGCGTTGATTGTCCTTCCCGCGTTGCTCAAATTGGCACTATTACTGGGTGGGGTTACCCCCTTTCGTGCATCATTCTTTGTAAAGGTCACCTCCTTTGCGTTGTTGTATCCGTCTCGGTGGCTGCTACTTCGATTGGTGGTACCAACATGATGTGAGTTTTTACCAAATGGGAGATCTACATCGTCTTCCTCTTCTGCTTCGTCTACGTCCACGTCATCTTCTTCTTCCTCTTCCTCGTATTCGTCTCCCCCCTGCGCATGATTCTGCTTCTTAAATACTTTCATGCCCACCTTGTGCACATCCTCCACGTTGCTGGTTCTCTCCCCGTTAATCATGATCAGCATGGGTTCTTTCTTTTCGCTGCCCAGGACGGATGGATTTTGCAGGACGTTTTTTCCCCTTGGGAGTACTCTTCTCAGCTGATCGTTCGCACCGTAGAGGTCCAGTCCCCCGGCGTCCCGGCTTCCATTGTGAGCAGTGGAATGCACTCCAGCATGTGTTGTTCCATGTGTCGTTCCATGTGTCGCACCATGGTTGTAGCCTCCCCCTGTGCCACTCCCCACATTGGCATCGAAATAGTTTACCTTCTTCTGGCCCGACATGTTCATGGAGGACGTTCCGTCTCCTGCATCGTAGTAACGGTTCAGATTCTTGGGGCCACTCATATTGACGTAACTCTCCCTGTTGGTATCATAGTTGTAATTTTTATAGCTCCTGTTCCCGTGGGTCACTTCTCCGTGAGTGTTGCTATTCGTTCCATCGTGCATGTAGCTCAGGTAGCTTTCGTAGTTCTGTCTGCCTTCCTTCTTGGTGTGAAAATTGTACGTGTTCTTGTTGTTGTAGAATCTGCTGTGGTGACTGCTCCCGGGGTGGACACTTCCCTGGTTTCCTCCTGCATTGTTGACACTACCGCTCGTGCTATTCCCATGCGTGACATCCATATGATATGCATTCATCCCTCCAGCCGTGCCGGTTGCCCCTCCGTTAAGCAACTTCTGTTTCTCGAAATGGTATATGTCGTCATTGTAGCTCATCATGGTGCTGCTGTTCTTGAGATCTCCTCCGCTTATGCTGTTGGTAGGGATCATGCCCGCTCCAGTGAAGTTACTTCTTCTCTTGTAATACATACTGGTGTTGTTGTTAAGGCTACCTGGGTTGTTCGTGGTACTTCCCTGGAAGACGTTGCAGACGTTGTCGCCTACGTGGTGAGGACCCTGGTTGGAGTGGCTCCCTTGTGTAATATGCCCCCCTTGTGTATTCTGTGCAGCTTGTGTATTCACAGGGCCGCTGCCTTGCCCAAGATACTGCTTCGCACTGGAGTATTTGTTCTTGTAGAAGAGGAGGGGGAATTTATTCTTACTCTTGTTATACTGCTTCGTGTCGGTGCCTCTGTAATTCATTTTCTCGAGCGGGAGTAAACAGGGAGGGGGGGGACAGATCGCAGTGGTGGATGGGGAACCAGAGCTGCTTCGCAGGGGGGGGCAGAAGAAAGGAAAAAAAAAAAAAAGAAAAAGAGGGAAAGAAAAAGAAAGAAGGAATATATAAATATATCCCTGTACAAACTGCTACCTCCGCAAAGCGAATAAAGATAGGGTGTGCTTCATCCGGGGGGACGGGTAGTCTACTTCATTTCTCTTCTCCGCCTCAGCGCGAAAGGGACGTCCACGGGGAGGTGAACAAAGGAGGGTAAAAAATGGAGGAGTGATAAAGGGAGTGATCATGCGAGTGATACAGGGAGAATAAATGGAGTGCTGCGGGGAGTGATAAAAGCCGAGCGAGGTACGAGTGCCGCTTGGATTCCTCGGCCATGAACGGTCCTCATACAAATCTGTGCTCCGGGCGCTGTCACTGGGGGGCAGGCTTTTTTTTTTCCCAGCTCGCGCTACATGATTTGGTATAAACAGCAATTCGCGAGGTTATTCTGCGATTGCGTTAGCGATGGTCGTGGCGATAGTCGTGACGATTGCCGTTAAGATTGGATTGCTTTATTGTTTTGCCTCTGTTTTTATTTTCGTTTTTGCTTTTGTTTTTTTGTTTTATTTTTTCGTGTTTTTTTTTTTGAGGTTTTTTTTTTTTTTTTTTTTTTTTTTACGTTGTCGAGCGTGATGACAACGGAGTGGAGTTTGCTTGACGCGAATTGGCAAATGGGGAAAGTTGGAAGAGCTTGAGGTTTGGAAAAATTGGAGCATTAAAATTTTCCTTTGGCTGGAACGAAGTTCGACATCGTGATGATATATTCCCACTTGGGGTGATGACATATAAGGGATGGGACGGAGGCCACTGGGGGTGGCATGCATTATATATATATGCGCAATACATGCGGTACAAACTGATCGTCGCAATTTTTTTTAGAAGAAATTTGTAGAGTGGAATAATGCGACAGAGGAGGGGCGAAGGAAAAAGAGGCTTCTTCCCCTTTCGCCGGTAAAGGTTTTAACGTGGTTTTTATGGTGTGGCATATCCTGGCCTATCGTGGATCGTTATGACTTTTTTTTTTTTTTTTCGTTCGTATTGTTTGCTTCTCCTTTTCTTTCCCCGCCAGACTGCGGTGACGGAGTTTAGCCCATTTGGCTTGTGGCCGCATGGCAACTATATCGTCGCCCCTTGGGGCTCTGCGCAAAAGAGGAGGGACGAAACAGCAGCGCTATCGCCCCCGAGCAACGGCATACAAGAAAAAGAAGAAATATATAATGAGTTATATGAATATTTAAGCATCCCACGGGGATATTTTTTTTTATTTTTTTTTGTTCTTTCTGTTGTTTTGGGTTGTTTTTCCTTTTTTTCGCTTTTTCTATTCTTTCGCATTTTGGGAGACAGCTGAAGAATTGTGGCGCCTGCCAAGTTGCCCAACGGAGGCACCCCATCCACGCGACCCCTACGCACTAGGCACAGTTTTATATGCCCATCCCTTCGTAGATCCTCCCCCACTGAACACATTTTATATTGTTCTTTTTCCCCACTCTTTTAACACTCCATCATGAGATAAATGAGGGAAAGTGACATCGGCCTTTTCATTCTTTTGGGTCACTCTTCGAATTGGTCATATGGAATTAGAAGAAAAAACCTTATCCCTCCATTGAAAGGGAAGGAAAAAAAGAAAAAAAAAAATATACTTTCCTATATCACACAGGGGTTAAGGATTATGAAAAAAGGGGGGAATACAACCTGGTGATCAGTGGCACGTCGTTTTTTTTTTTTTTTTTTTTTTTTTTTTTTTGAGACGGA